GGGCGCCACGACAGGCCACCCCACCCTCCTCACCTCCCCTCACCGCCCCGCGGAGGCGTCTCACCCAGTTTACAGCTGAGGAAACTGATCCCCAGAGACGTTAACTGTAAGCCGCCTGACTTCGCACCGCCAGGTCCGCTTCGAACGCCGGCCCAGCCGCGCCCCCGAGAAGGGAGACTTGCCCCAGTGGAACGCGGGCGACGGGCGCCCCGGTGTCCCCGCCTGCCGCTGCGCTCCCTGCCAGACCGCGGCGCGGCCGTTGACCGCAGCAACTCCCAGTGGCTCTCGGACACTGTTTCCTCATCCGCACGGTGTGGGCAGGCGGGCCCTGCCAGTGAGGTGGAAGCGCTGGGCGGTGCACGGCGTTTGCTGAGCGCTTTTCCCTGCCGTGCTCTTCCCGAGTCTGTTTCCCCTTCTCATGACACCGGAAGTTTGCTTTCAATGTCTGGTCATGTCGGGGCCGTCCGACGTCACCTGGCTTACCTTGTGGCGTGTATCCATCCCAGTTAGCTAGGGAAGGGACGTTTGCTACGTGCGGGAGAAGTAAGATGATTTGGAGGAAGAAAGGGGATGCAGAAGCACAAGCCCAACCTCAGTTCACTGATGTTTTATTTGTTTTTGTTTTAACAGTGTTTCAGTTCACTATAAAAAAAAACACAAGAGAGAAGACGACGATGATGAGTAAGTTTCAGGGGCCATTTATTAACTTTATGAACATTGTTAACTTAATCTGTGTCCCTATTTTTTTCTTTTAAAGGTTTTTTTTTTGGTGTGTTTTTTAGCACAGGACACATGCGTTCACCAGAGAGAAAGAGAGAGAGACAATTGAGATGGAAAGTGAGAGATTACACCTACCCCGCAGGATGGCCTGGCCCATCTCTTGTGTTTTTGGGCATGTGCACATGCCCAATGTGATTTTGATGCCATCGGGTTTGGGACCGAAAAAGAGAGAGAGACTCATTGATATGGAAAATGAGAAATTAACAGACACTGCCAGGATGATGGCCTGACCAAGCTCCTCTCAGGAATTCGGGCATGCTCACACACACAACGTGATTTTTGAAGCCATCTGGTCTGGGACTAAAACCACTCACCATGTGATTTGTGATCTTCAAGCTGCTGGGTCCGGTTCTTGAACCCTGCTGGGCCATGTAGGAATCTAGCACCTTAACCACCATGCCACGTGGCCCCACTAAACTACTTGTTTTAAGTGAAAAGATAAAAACATTAGGTATATTGCTGAAAGGAGAAACAAAAAATGAGTAAAATTGATTGCCTTTTAGGGAAAGTAAATGGTTGGCTGACAGAAACTTGACTCTGGTGGTAACTTAGTTTTAAATTTGAAACATGTTGTTATTAGGTACACAAAGTAAAAGTGTTCATAAGGTAATTAATGGAAAGTCTTAAATTCTATATTCTTAGTTCTCTACAGAGAGGCAAGGCCAGTTACCTGTTTTCCTATTTCTTTTGTGTAAGATAATCTAAAAACATTATAATTGCATATGCTTGTATGTGTGTGTGGCGGGGATGGTTTTTGCTTTAGGGCATGCACTTGCCAGAAAGGCAAAAAGTAAGAAATTACCACCACCACCACCACCCCCAGGGGACGACACACTGCAATCCCTTCTCCTCATCCTTTTGGGATCTTCTGCATGCTTGCATGTACACGTACCAGGTGTGAGTTTTAAGCCACCAGGACTAGGCCTCTAACCAGGGTGGACTACTGGGAGTCCAGTAATGTAACCATTATGCCTTCTGCTGGCCCCTATCTTCTGTTTTTATTTATTTAAAAGGTTTTTGCCATAGGGTGTGTGTGTGCTCACCAGAAAGATAGACCAGGAAAGTGAGAACCGCCCTCACTTCAGGGATGGCCATACCACAATCCTTTTTCCATGGGTATGCATGCACACATGCTAGCATAATTTTTGAACCACCAGGTCTGGGACTTGAACCACAATCCCCAGTGTGAAAGTTCAGCAATGTAACCACTATGCCATTTGTTGCCCCCCCCCCCTTTTTTTTAATTGCCAGAGGATGAGAGCACATGTGCCCTACCTGCTTTTCCAGCTGCCTAAAACTGGGATTCAAATTGCAGTTGGCATGTTCCCTTAACTACTAGTCTAGGGCTTACCCTAAGCCTCTGGTTTTCCACATTTGTAGAAAGATACTATTTACATTACATTACTTACCATATTCCTTTGGTTTTCCACATTTGTATATAGATACTATTTACATTGTGTAATGCATTGCTCTTGTCATTTTACTTTCCTATAGCTTGTTCCATATCAATAAGCAGCATTCTATATCATTTCTTTTTCTCAATAGTTGAATGATACTCTGTTGTAGGACTAGGTATATAGATAATAGCCAGTCTTGTGTTGATGGATTTCTGGATTATTTCATAGTTTTGGCTATTACTAACAAATCTACCATGACTATTCTTTTGAAGTTCTTTGTATATGTTTTCAAGTACATGAATGGATTCCTTAATGCACAATTGCTGGCTGTAAGGAATGTGCAGTTTAAATTTTGAATAAGAGTAGTTGCCAATTTAAGAATTATGTCATTTGTTGTTACTCTTTTTTTTTTTTAAGACGTTTTTGCCTAAGGGTGTGTGCATTTCCTAGAGAGACAGGCAGTGAGACGGAAAGTGAGAAGTCACCCTCTGGGGGGATGACCACGCCACAATCCTTTCTCTTATAATCTTTTCTCTTCCATTCTTCTGAGGTCGTGGGCACACAAGCACATGCACCAGCTTTGTTTTTCAAGCCCCCAGGCCTGGGATTCAAACCACAGTTGTCCGTGTGGGAGTCCAGCAGCAAAACTGTTATGCCATCTACTGGTCTTTTGTTATAATTTTCAAAGGGTTATTTATTCAGCTTTATTTATTATTATTATTATTATTTTTAAATTTGGCCAGAAAGAGAGAGAGACAGGGAAATTGAGAAAGCAAAGTGCCAGGTCCTGGATTCAAACCATTTGGGAGTCTAACACCTTAACTACCATGCCACCTGCCAACCTCTTCTTTTTTTTTTTTTTAAAGAATTATTTAATTCTATTTATTATTATTTTTTTTTTTTTCATCTGACCAGAGAGAGAGAAAAGGAAAGCAAGCCGCCAGGTCCAGGACTTGAAGCATGGTTGGCCATGTGGGAATCCAGCACCTGTAACCACCATACCACCTGCCGGCCCCAGACAGCCCCTTTTCAAAGTTTTAGCCACAACTTAACAAATTGCTGAAAAAAAATTGTAGCTCACAGATAGGCAGTCTAATATAAAAAGGCATAAAAGAGTTCCCCAAAGAATATATCCAAGTGACTAACCAAATGAAAAAGTGTTCTACCTCATTAGTTTTTAGAGAAATGCATGATTTTTTTTAAGAATTATTTTACTTAACTTTATTTACATATTCATTTTTTTTTAATTTGACCAGAGAGGGACAGAATGAGAGAAAAAGTGACCAAACAAACCACCAGGTACGGGATTCAAACTGCAGTCAGCCATGTGGGAGTCCATTGCCCTTAACCACCATACCACCTGCTGTCCTGAGAAATGCATGTCTTTAAAAAATTTTGCCAGAGGACTGGGACCAGCAGGTGATATGGTGGTTAAGGTGTTGGACACTCCCACATGGTTCGAGCCTCAAATTTGGTGACTTGCTTTTTCTCTCTCTGTCTCTCTCTGGTCAAATTAAAATGAATGAATAAATAAAATAAATCTTAAAAAACATTTTGTTAGCGGGCACATGTATTCACCCAAAGAGAGCATGAGAGTGAGAGAGAAGGTGAGAAAGCACCCCCTCCCTCTTATGGGTAATGGTCACACAGTAATCCCTTCTCTGTTTCCACCTTTCAGAATATTATGCCTGCATATGCATGCTCCCCATGTGTGGTGTTTTTTTTTGTTTTTTTTTTTTTTGAGAGATTTTCACTGTAGGGCGCGTGCACTCGCCAGACAGACAGAGAGAGACATAGAGACAGAAAGCGAGAAATCACCCCCCAGGGGGGATGGTCACGCTGCAATCCCTTCTCCTCCATTCTCCTCTCGGGATCTTGGGCACGCACGCACACGCGCCCGGCGTGAGTTTTAAGCCACCGGGTCCGGGACACGAACCACAGTCGACTACGTGGGAGTCCAGCGACATAGCCATTACGCTAACTGCTGGTTCCCCCCATGTGTTTTTTCATGCTACTGAGTCTATGACCTGGTGGTTAAAGGAGATGAATCTCACATAGCTGATTGCATGGTTTGAATCCCAGGCCCAGTGGTTTGAGAAACACACTGGGTGCTTATGTGTGCTAAAAATCCTACAGGATGGAGAAATGAAGGAGGAAGGGGATTGTAGCATAACTATGCCCCATTGTGGGGTGCTTTATTTTTTATTTGAGGGGTGCTTTCTCCCTCTTCCTCTCTTTGAGTGTACATGCCTGCTGGCAAATTAAAAGTAAGTAAATAAAGCCACAATGAAATAACACTTTACCAACCAGATACTAGAATGCATTTGGAGTGCCAGGACCTCTCAAACACTGTGTAAGTTGGTGCAGGTACTTGGGAAAACAATTTGGCATCATATAATAAAGTGGAAGGCATGCATCCCCTTTATCCAATAGTTTCCTTCCTGAGTATGTACCTTAGAAAAGTTCATACACATGCACACTGGGAGACATAAACAAGAAAGTCCAAAGCATTCTTTTTTTTTTTTTTTTTTAAAGAGGTTTTTGCTATAGGGCACGTGTGCTTGCCAGACAGAGAGAGACAGAAAGTGAGAAATCACCCCCTAGGGGGGATGGCCACGCTGCAATCCCTTTTCCATACCCCTCTCAGGTTCTTGGGCATGCACACACATGCGCCCGGCGTGAGTTTTAAGCCACCAGGTCCGGGATGCGAACCGCAGTCAACTACGTGGGAGTCCAGCGACAAAGCCATTACGCTAACTGCTGGTCCCCAGTCCAAAGCATTCTTGTTCATGGTAGCACAAAACGAAACCACTCAAATATCTCAACAACAAAGTGGCTAAAATAAACTACAGAATCAAGCAATGGAGTTCTATATAGGGAAAACAAGTATACTTCCAATGTTATGTGTCTTAAAAGCATGTCATAAACAAAAACATTGCAAGAACATATACAGTATAGTTCCCTAAATGCACATTTCAAAACAGGCAAAAGTGAATGTTCCTGTCTAAGAATTCATATTTATGTATTAGATCTAACTACGTTGGGATTCCTCTGCCCCAGCCTTTCTACCAGCCAGGATCGTAGGGGCACTGCTACCCCAGCATGTTCAGGTAGGTCCAGAATCTGAATCTGAATCTGGGCCTGCCATATAGCTACAGCATTATGCAGTGGCTCCCTACTCTCTGTACAACTAAAGATGAGCCCAATATTTACATTTTTTATTGCCTTGGGATTGCTGTGGATAACACAGAACCTTTTTGCTTTCACTTTTTGGGGTTCTATTTGAGGTGTTATTGAGTGGAATGTTCCAGTGCTAATATAAATAAGACAAAACTGGGGGACTATTGGCTTAAAAAGTTAACCATCAGGACCAGCAGGTGGCATGGTGCTTAAGGCCGGGACTTCCATATGGCTGACTGCAGTTTGAATCATGGACCTGGCAACTTTCTCTTGCTCACACTCACTCTCTCTCTGGTACATGTGCTCTATAGCAAATTTTGAAAATAGCAATAATAAATAAAATGAACTATCTATAGGCCAGCAGGTGGCATAAAGGTTAAGGCAGCAGGATTGCTTGTGGTTGACTGTGCATTTAGATTTCCAAACCCAGTGGCTTGGAAATTCACACTGGGGACCAGCAGTTAGCGTAATGGCTATGTCTCTGGACTCCCATGTAGTCGACCATGGTTCGCGTCTCGGACCCAGTGGCTTAAAACTTATGTCGGGCACATGTACATGCGTGCGTGCCCAAGATCCCGAGAGGAGAATGGAGGAGAAGAGATTGCAGCATGGCCATCCCCCCTGGGGGGTGATTTCTTGCTTTCTGTCTCTATCTCTGTCTGTCTGGCGAGCGCATGCACCCTATAACAAAAAACCTCTCCAAAAAAAGAAGAAGAAAAGAAAATTCACACTGTATATGCCTAAAAGCCCCAGAAGAGAAGGGACTATGCATGGCCATTCCCCCAGGAGGGGATTTCTCACTGTCTCTCTGCCATGGATATAAAAAAATGTTAACCACTTGTAATTTACAAATGGAGCAGCTGAAGCTCTGGAAGAACACAGGGTTAGAGATTTTGTTGTATAATGCCCAGAAGTGTGCTGCTCCAGCTGCTATGTTCATCAGTCTTATCAGCACCTGTAAGTCTGTTAGATCACATTTTCTTGGGAATTTATTCACAACATGTACCTCCAGGGAAATAATTTAACTGGAATCTAATTTGGGTTAGAAGGGAAAACCCAGCTCTTCTTTATGTTTTAATTTTTTCAGTAATTATTTATATTTTTACCAAAATGCACGTGTGCTGGCCAGAGAGAGAATAGAGGGAAAATGAGAAATTACCCCCTGTGAGGGATGGCCACACCATAGTTTCTTCTCCTTCTCCTTTTGGTATTTTGGGCATTCAAGACCCAGCATGATTTTTAGGCTGCAAGGTCCAGGATTCGAACTACTGGGTCAGCCATATGAGATCCAGCATCTTAACTACCATTCTACCTGGCTGCCACAAACTTAATTTTTTTAAGTTAACAGATGATAATTGTACTTGACAGGGGCGGGGGGGAAGGAGTAGTGGTGGTTGTAAAATATGAATGGTCTTCAGAAAGTTAGTGGAAACATGGGATTAAAATCTAAGTTCATGGAACTAGCAGATGGAGTAATGGTTGTGTCACTGGACTCCCATGTAGCTGATCACCGTTCAAATCCTGGACCCGGTGACTTAAAACTCAGGCAAAGCGCATGCCCAAAATCCTGAGAGGAGAATGGAGAAGGGATTGACACATGGCCATCCCCCCAGGTGGTGATGGCTCGTTTTCTGTCTCTCTGTCTCCCCAGTGAGTGCACACACCCTATAGCAAAAAAATCTCTCTCAGAAAAAGCTTATTATTTGAGTTTCTTTGGGCCAGGAGATGACATAGTGGTCACCTTGCTGGACTCCCACATGGCCAACTATAGTTTGAGTTCCAGACCCCGTGGCTTGAAACTTACAGGGTGAGTGCACACATACCTAAAATCCTGGGAGGGGTTTTATGTGGAGGGGAAGCAATTGTAGCATGACCATTCCCCCTAAAGGTGATTTTTCACTTCGCCTGCCACTGTTTGTTTTTTTTAATTTTCTCTCTCTCTGGTGAGTGCAGGTACCCTAACGCAAAAACCTCTATAAAAAGCAGTGTGAAAAAGAACAAAAAAAAGCAGTGTGAATTTATTTTGATGCAAAATTTTTGAAATCCACTCCTGGTTTTTTGATATTACACATTTTTCTGAACTTTTTTTTTTTTTTGAGAGGTTTTTCTTATTGGGCACGTGCACTCGCCAGAAAGACAGAGAAATACAGAGAGATAGAAAGCGAGAAATCACCCCCCAGAGGGGATGGCCATGCCGCAATCCCTTCTCCTCCATTCTCCTCTCAGGATCTTGGGCACGCACGCACACGCGCCCGGCGTGAGTTTAAGCCACCGGATCCGGGACTTGAACCATGGTCCACTACATGGGAGTCCAGCAACATAGCCATTATGCTAACCGCTGGTCCCTTTCTGAACTTTTGAAAACTATTTACACACCACTTCCTTTGACCCTTAGGACATGAAGCTGTGGTAGCCATTAATGATTTTTTTTTTCCAGACCTGTGTTCTGGTCTTGGGATAGCACTTAATGATGCCCAGGCAGTTCTGCACTTTTCATCTACAGACTTAAGTAGAACAGAGTCAGTGTCTATTTAACATTCCACTGACTCTAGGCACATAGTAATATTTTCTGATACTAGTTCGCGAAAGGAGCTTGAGCAGCCAAACTTCCTTTAGGAGACAGAAGGGTTTAGTGAAATGACAAAGGTGGAACTTGGGTGCTTTGGTCCTAACATACAACTCACAACTATACTGAAACTTAGGAGAGGCCAGGTTAGCTTTTCAAGGTTCTAGTTTCCAAATCTCCAAAAGAAAGAAATCGGATTTGTTGAATTCTCAGGTTTCTTGCTTAGTGTATGTGAAGTGAAGATAGTATGTTACAAGTTTGGAGAAAAGTGGACCACATCATTGGTTGAGGGCTTAAAAATGAAATGACAGCCTCTGACATTTTAGAGGAGTTCAGGAAATGAAAGGTATCAGTTGCACCTGTAGTACATGGAACAGACCTGATGATGTGTCCTAAGGCATTTTAGGATATATGCCAAACCACCTCCCCGTATATTTGATGTGGAGCAGAAACAGTACAACAAAATATATCTGGTGTTGAGATGCTATTTTATAATTTGTTTTAAGAATTATTTTATTTTGTTTATTATTAGTATTGTTTTTTAATTTGCTGTGGGGCATGTGCACTCACTAGAGGAAGACAGAGAGGGAAAGTGAGAAAGAAAGCTGCCAGGTCTGGGACTCAAACCACAGTTTGACATGTGAGAGTCCAGCACCTTAGCCACCATGCCACCTGCTGGCCCTGATATTTTGTTTCTTTCTTTTTTAAGAGAGATGTTTGTTCTAGGATGCGTGCATTTGTTAGAGACAGACAGAAAGCGAGAAATCGCCCCTTGAAGGGATGGCCATGCTGCAATCCCTTCTCCTCTATTCTCTTGGAATCTTGGGCACGCATGAACTTGCACCCAGCGTGAGCTTTAAGCCACCAGGTCCAGGACTCAAATAGCAGTCGACTATGTGGGTATCCAGCAACATAACCATTACACCATCCCTTTTTTTGTTTTGTTTTGTTTTGCTAGAGGGTATGAGCCCTTGCAGGAAACAGAGATTGAGGGGAGTGAGAAAGCACCGCTCATGTGGGATGATCATGGTGCAATCCCTTCTTCATTCTCCTCTCAGGATTTTGGGCACAAACATGCACAGCCTGATATGTTTCTCAAGCTGCCAGGTTTTAGACTTGAATGGTGCCATCAGACGTATGGGATCCAGCCACCTTAACCACTACACCACTGGCTAGTCTGACTTTTGGTTACTTTACATTCCAATTAACCGTTCCTAAAAACAGATAAGAAAGAACAACATTTTCTCACATTGAAAATTCATAACGTGGGGCCAGCAGGTGGTATGGTAATTAAGAGCACTGGACTCCCATATGGCTGACTGCAGTTTGAGTCCTGGACCTGGTGACTTGCTTTCTCACTTTCTCTTACTCTGTGTCCCTCTGTAGTCACATTAAAATAAATAAGTAAATAAAACTAAATAAAATAATTCTTTTTTTTTTTTGGGGGGGGGGAGAGGTTTTCGCTATAGGGCGCGTGCGCTCGCCAGACAGACAGAGAGAGACATAGAGACAGAAAGCGAGCAATCACCCCCCAGGGGGGTTGGTCACGCCGCAATCCCTTCTCCTCCATTCTCCTCTCGAGATCTTGGGCACGCACGCACGCGCGCCCGGCGTGAGATTTAAGCCACCGGGTCCGAGACGCGAACCGCGGTCGACTACGTGGGAGTCCAGCGACATAGCCATTACACTAACTGCTGGTTCCCGAAATAAAATAATTCTTAAAAACTAAAAAAATTAAAAGAAAATTCATAACTCAGGGGCTGGCAGGTAGTATGGTGGTTAAGGTGCTGGCCAACCACAGTTTGAGTCATGGATCTGACAGTTTTTTCTCACTTTCCCTCTCTCTGTTTGTCTCTGACCAAATTAAAAATCTTAATAATAAACAGTTAAATAATTATTTGAAAAATAGAGATAGTTTATAATCTGAGAAGACTTAACTCTTGCAAGTGCAGCTTAATTTGACAAAAAGCAGTGAAAGACAATATTTCTGTGAGATTACGAGAATGAGAAAAGGAAAATGTATGCTTTTCTATCTTGTAATCACACAGTATCAAGAAAACTAAAGTAGTTTTATTTTTATTTTTATTTTTAAATTATTGATCAGAGGCCCAGCTACCATGGCACAACTTGGAGGCTGCATGGGGTGTCCAGATTCAGTACTGGCCCAATTTAAACAGGCTGGGCCTGGAGGTATGCATCTGTGGTCCTAGCTGACTTAGAGACTAGGTCAGGAAGGATACTGCTAACAGAGAAATTCTGTCAGAAATACCTCTCTCTCCTGTATATGCTTACCTGCACGTGTACTCACATTAAACATTTTTTTTTATTAGAAATGAGGATTATGTATATTTAATTTATATTGGTTGGGATTTTCATTAAATTTTGCCTTTTTTGTTTTCTTTTTCTAGTTGTCCAGCAAGAAAGAAAAGACTAACTGAAGCAGATCTCTGTGCTGGCCCTAATGACTGGATTCTTTGTGCACACCAGGATGTAGAAGGTCATGGAGTAAGTTCATGCACTGGTGGCCTTTCCATACCTGGCATGTTAGATGTTACATGTGAAGAAATGGATCAGACAACTGGAGAACCACAGTGTGAAGTTGCCCGAAGAAGGCTTCAGGAGATTGAAGACAGGTAAACGGGTAGTGTGTATTACTGGCTTCTTGTTCCTACATCTATTTTTATTTGTAATTTTTTTTTTAGATGTTTTTGCCATAGGGTATAGAGAGCAGTCAATTTGAAAACATGTGATTAAAACATGTGGCCTGTAGACACATGCAGAAATGCTCTTCCGCTTCTGTAAGCTATTTTAGCAGGTCTGTTGAGAAGTATTTACATATGAAAGCAGTATTTGCTTGTTGTTAATGGTTGTTTTTTGTTGTTGTTGTTGATATTCAATACTCTAAATCACATGCGTTTATTAGATTGTCCCCCCCAAAAGATTTTAAAAAGTATATGGCGCCAGTCATTTTCACATCTTTAGACGATTTACATGCAGAAACAACTGGCTTTACATTCCGATTTCTCCCTCCTTATTCTCTTTGCATTTCATTTCCTTCTTCCCCATTCCTTTTCCATCCCATTTTTCTCTTCCCCCATTTTCTGCCCTTTACAGGAATAAACCTGAGACTGGTTCTGGTCGCAACTTCTCCATCAGAGAAGCTGTGCCCACCCAATCCTCGCTTTTCTATACTTGTGTGTCTTTGTGTGTTTGTTAATGCATCTATTTCTAATCCACAGCCTTTCCCACTCAAAAAAAACGTGTTCGTTCCGAGCTGGTCCCAGTAATATGGCATATGCACTTGTCAGATAAAGAGACAGTGAGGGGGAAAATGAGAAATCACCCCTGGATGAATGGCCACGCTGCAATACCTTCTCCACCATTCTCCTCTCACGATCTTAGGCACACATGCACTCAGCATGAGTTTGAAGCCACCAGGCCCAGGACTAGAAGTGTAGTTGGCCATGTGGGAGTCCTCCCATGTGGGAGGCCAGCACCTTCGCTGGCCCCTTTATGTAACATCTTTTAAGCTAATCTGATTTATCATTTGGAGATACCTTGATCCTCAACTTCTCAGAGAGACTATAAACCTAGGGAATTCAAAGTGTGTACTTAAATGTTAAATTGATTCTTCTTGTAATAATAAACATTTTGGGGACCAGCACTCGACAAGGAGGTTAAGACGTAGGACTCTCACCGACCAACTGCGGTTTGAGTGCCTGACCTAAAGGCTTGAAAATCATGCTGGGCACATATGCATGCGTGGCTAAAATCCCAAGAAGAGAATGGAGAAGAAATTTATGCATGGCCATCCCCTCTGGGGGGTGATTTCTCACTTTGCATCACTGTCTCTCTCAAGCGCACACTCCCTATGGCAAAAAATAAATAAATAAATAAAATTAATAAGCATTTTTACTTACCGTCTCTCAATATAGTTTTTGGTTTAGGAGATCGTTTTCTGGACTACATTTTTCAAATGTAATTGTATGTAAAATATTTTTGCTAAATTGAAATGTTGAACAATCATGTAAAGTAGTACTTTTCCATCCAGGTATAGCCTCGTTTTCTTCTTGGCTTTTGCAATAGCACCTGTTGATTTTATCTTTTTTAGTTTTAAAATTTTGTCCAGTTGTTTATAAAATATATAATAGCATAATCCTCTGCTTCTGCTCTTATTTAGGATAATTGATGAAGATGAAGAAGTTGAAGCTGACAGACACATTAACCATCTCCCCAGTCTTGTCCTTTCTGATACTATGAAAACAGGCTTAAAGAGGGAATTTGATGAAGTTTTTACAAAGAAAATGATTGAGTCCATGTAAGTTTGGGTACCTGATTTGCATTTAATTATGATTTTGGAGGGAACACCTAGAATCTCTAGGTAGTCTGTTCTATTTTAATCAGTTCTTCATCTCTTGATCACTAGGCAAGTGAAAGCACAATAGATTTTATATTTAGTTCAGGTTGGAGACAGGTTCTTTCTTAGTTTATTGGGAATGCCTTGCAAACAATAATGTGAAGTATACAGGAATGGCCACCTTGCCTACTTAGCCCTTGGTTCTTTTGAAGTACTGAAATGCACTCTAGTCTAATACTTGAAAGTAGGAGAACTCATTTTCTTTCTTTCTTTTTTCTTTCTTTCTTTCTTTCTTTTTTTTTTTTTTTTTTTTTTGAGAACCCATTTTCTTAAGTTCTTCTGATAGGATTTAGGAACTACAATTATTTTTTTTTTATTTATTTATTTTTTGGAGAGTTTTTTGTTATAGGGCGTGTGCACTCCCCAGAAAGACAGAGAGACAGAAAGCGAGAAATCACCCCCCGGGGGGGGTGGGCACGCCGCAATCCCTTCTCCTCCATTCTCCTCTTGGGATCTTGTGCATGCACGCAAACATGCCCGGCGTGAGTTTAAGCCACCAGGGCCAGGACTCGAACCGCTGTCGACTACATGGGAGTCCAGCGACATAGCCATTATGCTGACTGCTGGTCCCTAGGAACTATGATTTTTTTTAATTCTTAGAGAGTATGTACACTTGCCAGGG